AATACAGTAAATGTACCATTATCATGTAACAAGCATTGATTAGTTTTACCTCAAGCTGAAAAATATAACTGTAACGTTGCAGTGTGAGTTTACCTGAGTTTCCAGCATGTTGTAAAGCCAGTCTCCCAGTTTGTCTGTATATAGCCGCTTTCACATTGCCTTATTTTCTGGAGGTGCCAACATGTGGCTTGCTGCGCTGTCTGAAAGTTAACTTTACGGAGCTGAAAAGTAATGTTGAAGTAACACAGCCTGAACATGTCTGTGTGAATAGCCACAGCTGCATGACTTCAAGCGAGCACACGTACAAGCACACACCTGGTTACAGTTTTCAAACTGCACCACTAGTGGCCATTGAAAACTACATATTACCTCTTTAAACATATACATTTTTTCATTTTTGTGGAAACAGTATCTAAGCTTTAGGCCTCTGGCAGGGCTTGTCCTATTGCAGCAGTTGATGGATATCTGAGAGCCTGCATTGCTAGGAGACGTGCTGTCAACTTCTGTGGTCCGCTACTGACTGAACCTCGTCATAGTTCTATGTAACCTATGGGCATTAATACAAGATGTTTTTTTTCTCCTGTTTCAACAAGCCAATATATTGTTAGCAATTTAATGTCTGCACCCATACATTACTTCGTAAGTTACATTCAACATTTGGGAGGACCCATTGTACTAATGTTTGATACCACTCAGAAAGTGGAAATTGGCAAACTAGGTTAGCTTTAGGACTGATTCCCACTACATGTTCCACTTTTTGGACCCAGATGTGGTGTTGGCAAATAGCCAGATTATCAAAATTGACTGGAACAAGTAGTCCTGTAACCTCAGCACACCATACGTCACCCTGTGATTTGAATCCCAACTTCAAATCACAGATGGGAAAACGCAAAGGCTAGCAACGTCGACAACCTCCCCCCACCTGAACAGCCTGTGTGATTGTTGGAAATGAAGTGCAATAACAAACTATTTTTAGTTTGGTTTAGTAACAGAGGTACTGAAGGATTTTTGACTGTATGACCAAGCTTAAGTCAGCAGACAAAAAAACTCTTGCTAACACTTTCTATGAAGATCATCGCTATAATGATTTATGCATATATTATAACACGATATAACGCATCCATAAGACATTATAACAGTTGTTATAATCACTTACAAACATGCATTAGGCGCTATAGCAAAGTTCATAATGTATTATGAACTTTTGATTTAATGTTTTATAACTAATAGTAGTACCAGTTTATATCAATGTGCATCGAGAATCTCCAGCCATGTTGAGAACGAGCAGCAGAACGTGACGACGGTGAAAGTTAGCGGTGGAAAATATTTAAGTTACTTCGTAAGTTATCTGTCAGGAAAAGTGAAGGCAGTTAGCGCTAGCTAACAGTATTCCCATTTAATTACTTTAAAATGTCTTTTAATAGGCTACGTTTTGTGAAGTGGTTGTCTTTAATTGTCCACTGTATCTGTCAGGGCCTGTCCATAGGCTCGCCATTCATCTGTGACAACATCCAAGCCTCTTCTTACATGATGTTGGTCAGCAACAGGTCTTCTCTTGAGCGATCTTTCTCCACCCTGACAACGAGTTTTCTTGATATAATTATTTTGTGTTTTTGTGCTAAACTGCAAAATGTTCAAAATTCATACAGATTGTTCATAAAGTGAAGAAACATAAATAAAAGTTGTTTTCCTGCGTAAAATGTGTGTCACTTTACTTAAAGCAAACAATGACGTGTTATATGGTCTTATAATTAGTTCATATGGTATTATGTCCACCTGTAATATATTATACAGGGATAGATATTTTAACACTTTACTTAAAGCAAACAAAGACATGCTATATAACTTTAAACATTACTATAAGCTTTTATTCCATTTTATATCACTAATTGTAAATGGTGACTAAAGTGTATTCATAACGAGGCAGAGTCGATGGTTATAATGTGTTATGGAACATGGTCGGAGATTCCTGACGCACATTGATATAAACTGGTACTACTATTATACTATTATATTTACTACTACTGTTATAAAACATTAAATCAAAAGGTCATAATACATTATGAACTTTGCTATAGCGCCTAATGCATGTTTGTAAGTGATTATAACAACTGTTATAATGTCCTATGAACACATTATATTGTGTTATAAATATATGCATAAGTCATTATAGTGATGACCTTCATAGAAAGTGCTACCAAACTCTTTATATAAAATAAAAGTATGCCCTACTTGAGCTTATGCAAGGGCAAGGCTGACCAGTCATGAAGTACAATGTACAATAGTGAATGAGAGACTTCCTAAAGA